AAAAACTTGCACATGAAATTAAACATCTAACAGAATTTGTGGTAGGTGTATAAGGCAGGATATTGATAAAATCAAACCATACATATTTTGATAAAGGAACATATGCCAGGTGCTAAGGAAGCCCAGTTACACACTTCTCAAGGGCTGGCTATTTTCATCGTGACTCAGAGCGTACCTGAGGCACTTCGATTACCAGGGACAACGTTACCATTTTTTAGGAACTTCTTTTTATGTAAGTATAGATCATTCTTTATACTTTCTCCCATATGAAAGTAAAACATTATCAAACTATACATGTGGTACATTCCTAAGAGGAAAAATATAAGTAGGAGTCTATTCTAACACATGGATTCAGACAAAGCAGATCAAATCATGTTCCTCAACAAAAGGAATCTATGCATCTCAAACTTTAAAGCCTGCTTTGAGTTCCATCTCCTCCATGAGAACCTTTCTACTCTCTTGCCCAAATGGATCCTTGTCCTCTGCAACTCCCTTGCTTTACCTAGTTTATGGTTTTAAATGTTTCACTTTGCATGTCTGCAAGTTCCCTTGTGGAGAACTGTTAGAATCAGGGTTTGGGCAGCAGTAGGTTAGCCCGAAGCACACCTCAAGGATCAAGAAGAACTGGTCTGCTGTGACTCACATATGAAGGAGTATTTTAAGCGCAAAGATTGGTCTGTGAGAGGAAAAGGCAGACAAAATCAAAAACTCAACTGCAGTGTAAAAACTAAGACTACGATGAAGTGAGTTCTAAGTAGGGGAGTGGCACAAGCAGTGAGTCCTGGGGAGTCTGGGAAGCAGGTAAGAGGTCTGTATCCATGGTAAAACAGGAGCATCCGGAAAAAGAAGGGGCAATGCCAACTTCACAGGCAGCCAGTAAGAGTTCCTTATATCACCTCTGGCTGAGTCAGAATTAGTTCAAGGCTATTGGTCAGGGACACACAGAGGTGGGGGTTAGGTAACCCCAACTGCAAAGATCAGCATGATACAGCATCAGGGATACCAGTAAGCCACTGCAAATAAAGACTGTGTCTACCATAGCTTCTCACACAGTTCCGGACACAGGCTACAAATATTATTAGCTGTCCTGATTGCTCCCTAGGCTAAAGTTATAAATATTTTGAAAACTTACATTACCATCTTCCTAAATTCTTAAATCTCATGAATTCCAAACAGTGGATAATATTACACATGTAGCATTTTCCCATAGTAAAATTCCTTGCTTATCCTGTCACCTGTATCCCTTGTGGTCCCCAAGCTGTCACAAGCAGCCATCGCCGTATTTCCTTGCTGTTTGTGAAACTGGTGTTTTGCCGAGGAACCATTTTTCTCTCAGTTCCTTGCAGTATAGACTGTTCATTCTCACGTAACCCGAGAACCACGGGGACCTGGAGTTGGCACTGGCCTCTTAGCTCTTCACAGCACTCTTCGCTGGGCACCTTCACACCTGGCTAGGACATCCTCTGTTTATCTTCGTAGCTGTTACCTTCGGACACTGGGGTTACTCTAACACAATGGTTCTCAACGTGGGCTGCACGTTAAAATCACCTGGAAAGCTTTTGAAATATACCCACGCTGAGGTTCCATTCCAGACCAATTAAATCAATTTGTGGGTTTAGGGACAAGCACAAGCATTTTTTTAATTTCTTAGGTGACTTCCGTGTAAAGCCAAGGCTGAGACATCTGTTTGACTGCAAGAATTCAGGGCTTCAGCTCTTGGTTCAGTGTCCCCTTCACCCCAACTCTTGCAGTCATTCTGGAATTTTAATGCTCAAGGAAACAATCTATCCAACACCTGGTCTGAGTTCCTTGGCCAGCTCAATTCTAGTAACAGCTCCTTCGATTTGACTTTAGTTCTTACATACAATGCTGTGAATTTATCATAACCTCAAGCTGCTTAACATCCGAAATACTAATTAAGCAAGCTTCTTGACTTACAGGCCATAGCTTCCATCTGTTGACTCCATTACTGCATGACACTAGGCCCCCACTTGGGCATGGGTGGCTTATGGCAACTGCGCAGAGAACCTCGCTTTCTAAGCTGGCCAGTTTTCCAATTCCACATCTCTTCCAATCTGGCTGATCTTCCATAATTTTTTACCCCAGTGGCTCTCTTACCAATGCTGTCAAGTTTCTTATCCTCCCGGCCTCGATGACACCCACAACTTCAATTATGTATCTAACCAAACCTGTGTTCTCCACTGCTACGTCCTAGATGCTGAGCATGACTGAAGAAAAAAAATCCAACTGCATAGACTTATGCCCCATCCATTTTTTCTGGTATTCAAATAGCAGCTGCTAGAGTACTCAGAAATCTTGTTGTATTCCAAATGAGCTCCTGCTCCTACTGTCCGCACAGGCATTCCAACGGCCACTATTCTTATCTCACGCCTTTTGCCCTCACATCTGACGTGGACCTTCCGTTCTGTCTTTGAGAACAAAAAGACATCCCTTTTTTCCAGACTTCCACTTTATCAACTTGTCTGCATCCTCATTCATATTAGCCTGTCTCAGATGGGTACTACTCTAAGCTCAGCACTTCTGACATTTTCAGCCAGATAATCCTGTGAGGAGGATGGCTGTCCTGTGCATTCTAGGATGTTTAGTAACTTCTGTGATCTCTGTCTACTAGATGCCAGCAGAATCCCCCTCCTTGAAGATATTTGCAAAAATATCTCCAGACGCTGCCAGATGTCTCCTTGGAGGCAAAGTCACCCTCAGCTGAGAACCATTGCTCTAGCCAATACTAATCTATCAACCTGTCTTTGCCGTAAAAACCTCCTGCTTGCTCCAAGACTCTGTGTGCTTGCTTTATCTATCTTAAACCGGAACCTGTCCATGGGCTTTGTCTTCTTAGAAGATAACTTTATGTATCAGTCTAGTATTTAAAAAGTCACTCCTGGAACTATGTCTCCCTTCAGCCACTGCTTGAATTTTTTTTTCCTTCAAAGTGAAGCTCTGGGAATGAGTTCCATCAGTTCACCCGCTCCATTCTATCTTCAGTCCTTGTACTATTATCCACCCTTGCTACCAGTGCAAAGGTGCCAAATGCTTAGATAACCTAACTGATTGGCCATTTCTGATACTACTGACTATTCCCTTCTAGGACCTCTCTTCTCCCTGGCTTTGACAGCATTTCTTTTTTCTTTTTCCTCCTGATCTTTCCTTCCCCTTTGATTATTCTTTCTTAATCTTCTGTTCCTTTGATTGCCCCTTAAACACTAGTTTTCAACTGGGATTCTCTCCTTGGACTTTTCTCTCAGACCTCTACAACGTTTGTTCTGAGCCCTCTCCTTCATTACAAGCTTCAACTCCACTGATATAATACAATAAATACTAACTCCTCTCCATTTTATTTTGAAGCCCTACCTTCTCTCAAATTCTAGTCCCGCATTTCTGGCTCCCTAGTGGGTATCTGTACCTGGGAGCACCATAAGCATCACTAACAAATCAAGATATCTAAAAGTGAACTCATCACATTCTATTCCCTGCCTTTCTTTGTCTGTATCTCCTCTAACCTTCCTTATTCTTTTATTATTTCTGTGGTACCACTATCCATTCACTTAATATAATAAGCCAGGGCCCTTTGCACAGTCCCTAGATTCCAACATCTTTAAACACATCCAACCAATCATAAAATCCTGTCAATTATATCCCTCTAGTTCAGGCTTTTATATTTTATTTTGATGGATTCCTAACTTACAATACTTCCTTGTCCCAGGTCTAAGCTACCTCTAACCCAATCACTATGCTGCCAGTAGAATGGTATTTTTAACATGCAGATCTGTACGTGTTGCTTCCTGGATTACCTCCTCCAGGGGATCCCCTGTGTCTAAAGAATACACTCTAACCATCTTAGCAGAGTACAGTAGACTCCATGGCCTGACTCCTGTACTTCTCTATCCTTCTCTCCATCAGGACTTATATTCCACAAACAACTACACTGTGCCACACCTTACTCAAGTTGTTCCCTCTGCTAGAATGTTTTTTCTAAGATCATCTGCCTATCACATACTTTTTCATCCTATAAGCCTCAGCTAAAGCATGACCTCCTCTGGGAACTCTTTGTAGACCCCCCCTGGGCAGATTTACCGGTTTTCTTTCTGTGTGTTCCCAATACATTATGCTCAGGTCTTCATTATAGTTCCTACCACAGTCTGTTGGAATTGCCCATTTGCAGGTCTCACCCACCAGCCTGCTAAGCTCAAGGGCAAGTGCTTTCCTACTCAGCCTTGTTTCAGTGAGGACTAATGGAATGCTCAGCAAAGAAGAAAGAAGCACTCAATAAATATAGGTGAATGGCTAATGATACATGACACGTTCAACTGTCAAAAACTGTATACACGAGAGTTCATGTCAAAAAGTGAAGTTATTCAGTCTAAGGCAAAAGCTAATGTCACAGAATGACATAAGGTCATTCAATAAGCAGTATATACGATGGCACACTGCTTATTAAATTTTTTTATCAAAGTACTACTAACATCAGAAAAATACTGACTGAGGGTCTCTGAAGGCCCAGGTTAAAAAACGTAACACTTCTCCGGCTGATAATATATCCATATTCATTTAAATCTGAAAATATTTTAAATTACTATCAAGTAGAAGGAATGCCCCAGGACGACAGAACATCTTTATTCTGTGGGCCCCAATGACCGTCAGCATACGTGTACCCCTCAGGCGGGGCTCAGGGCAGTGCCAGTGTCACTGCTACAGAAACAACTACAGGGTGGAAATAACATCACACATCAAGTCACAAGTTCTACTTTGGGTCCTTGTTCCGTTACTTGGGCTATGACTTGGGGTCTACTTTCATCTCTGAGCCTCCTCAGTTTCCTTATCTGAAAAATGGTTCTAATAATATTTGCCTTACATATTTCATAATGGTGGTGCCAATATTACAAGACAATGAAGGATATAAGCATGAAACATAAAGTAATATTTTATCCAGAGAGAGTGAAAATCAAAGTGCGGATGCTATACATATTCTTGAAAACATTTACCTTTTGAGAAGATGAAGGTTTTTCCATTTTGTTTTTTGCCTTGGGCGTTTCTGGAGGGGATCGCTCCTTTATCTGTGGAGGCCGTTCTTGATAGAGTGCTGGAATTAAAAGAGGAATTCAAGCAATCAAATTGAGGAACACTGTTTTCATGGCGGAAAGAACGATGATGGAGGGGAGGCAGGTGTGAAACTAAAGAAACCGATATTCAGTGCTTTGGTGTACAAATAAGCTATCTAGCACTTACTGTTAGGGCGATTTGTAGTTTTACGTGCTAGTTATCAAAAGAACATAACTTATGATTGTAAAGTTATGATTATTAGGATTTCAGAAACGTAGAAGGTGTCATTTTCACTTACTATGTGGTCACACAGATGTTTATTTCAATATACATTTATCAGGAACCTGCTACATGCACCGTTGTCTGCTAGGTACTGCTGCAGGAGATATGAAGACGATCGGAGCGGCCTTTGCTCGCCGGGAGCTTACAATCTGGTTGGAGGCATACGTTCACAAGGAACTGTGACATTACTTAAATGAGAAATAATAACAAAGACACACTCATGTGGGGATGGCAAATGCTTCATGGAAGAAATAGGTGTGTAACTCTGAAGGACAGGTAGGACTTTGCCAGGCAGAAGTGTGGAGAAAGGATAATTTGGGAAGGTGGCATGAAATAAAGAAGCATGGAGATGGGACAAGGACCATACACAGCAGGAATCTATTCAGTGTTATAGCCATGGTTCTTACAATGTAAAATGATAATCTATATAATCTCTTTAATTTACACACAGTGCTGAATCTAAAAAGTCAGGTGGGAATATTAAAGGGCTAAAAAGAAAATCTACTTTGGTTAAATGACTTGAACAACTCTGAATTGAGAGAAATTGCTAAAATGCACCTAATCAAAATTCTAAGATTATGAGATATATGAATTGACTTTAAGTATGGACTGATTTTATTATCAGCTTTCTTTACCTCTTATCGGAAAAGATATTAGATATGATTAAGGGAAGCTGATCATATTTTTCTTCCCAGGTTGTATCTGGATTAACAATGAATTGTCATGTCTACTTAAAATAACAGATACACTCTACAGTGACTATGATGTGTGGGTAGCTCGTGATTTAAAAACAGAAGCTGAATTCCAGCTGTTGAGCCTGTGGAAAAGCCATCAGTGGCAAGCAGAGGGAAGAAATGTGGATATTTGAGACAATCTGGAAGTCAGAAGTGCATGTGATTGTATATTAACCTGTCCTAAAATTTCTTCCTTCCACATTGCCGTATGTTTTCTCCAGTGTACACCTTCTTTTAACATAAAAATAACCTCCAATAGATTTTAAGAGCTATCAGTCATTTACTACTCAGAAAAAGAACGAAAACGATGGCACGGAGGAACTTTAGACTTTTGTTGTGAGAGAGAAGCAGGTAATTTTTGAGATACTTGGCACTTTTGAGGGGAGGAGTTTGCTGAAAGCACCAGATACGCTGAGGCAGGAAGCAGCCATGAGACCACGCGTAGCCCTTGAGAGACTGGCAGGGAAGTCCTGGGAAGTGCCCGGTTACGCACAGGGTAGTACGAGGGGGCTGAAGAAAAAATATCTTATCTGGGTTTACCCCAGCACCCAGTACTCATGGGAGGAATTCTTCTTCCTCTACCATCTCCTTTGCTCTCAAAATTTAGAACTCAGGTTAGGAATTCAAAGTACTTTTGTTCAGTCATTGTTTGGGTTTAAATGGGATTTCACACGCTAGCCTCAAAAGCAACTATTATTTATAGTAATCATTTCTTTGCAGAAACAAAAGACTTAATACATATGCAAAACAGAGAGCTCTCAAGGCTGTGTATAGTACGTTTTACATCAGACCTATGTCATTTTAGTATTTCTGGAAGAAAACTTAAAGAGATGACAGAGCTCAACTTCCTCATTTTACAGGAGGAAACTGAGGCATCTCAGTAATAGCTGTGGAGGAGCGAGGATTAGCAGTCAGCTTTCCTGACCCCTTGAGAATAGTATTTTTCCTACCACACTGAAGTTAACTGCTGATAGGAAGCGTTCTTCTGAAGAAGCGTTACTATCTTTCTCCCCTTTCTATGTAGTCTTTATTTGCAGGCCCTCTATGTTCTATTTTCACCTCTCAAGGTGAAATCCACAGCTAGCTAGTGGTCTACCACTTTCAGAAACTGTTTAGAATTCCTCTTCCATCTCCTGTCTTTTTCCTTTCACAAATGAGGGCTTTAATTTACTTGAGAACGAAGTAACCTGCTGTAGGTTGGTAACAGCTAGGTCTGAGGTACATAAAGAAAGAATGGGAGTTGGGGAGCTAGAAGTTCTTAAAAAGTGACTGTCAACTGAGGAGTCAATGTGGCAAGAGACGAGCTGACATAATCATGCATGAAGTGCATAAAGCAGGTGGCAGGAGAAAGGGGCTGAATGAAGAAGGCTGTTAACTAGATGGATAGGGCCCCTGGGACGAGAAGTTTGTGAAGCAAATATTCCAGAATGGAATAGCTTTCTAGTGTTCTAGTGCCTCCCGCTTTTACTTTTTTGCATCATGAAAATGAAAAGCAATATTCACTGGTAAACATATGCAAAAGTTACAAAGACAGTAAATTAAAGGGTAGAAAATGATAAAATCTTGTACTATCAGTTATACCATATTAGTAGACCAGGAAGGGAGCATAAAACTTACTTTCGCTAGCCACATGATTAGCTGGAAAAAAACCTTCCTGTCCCTTTCCTACGCTGCCATACCACCAGTCTTCATTATCTTTGAAAAACACTCGGATAATGTCTCCGCGATGGATGGTTACTTCATCTGATCGATTCGCTGTGTAGTCATAAAGAGCCACTACCTAGGAGAGAGATAAGACCACCACAGCTTTATCACAACTGTACCACAGAGAAAACCCCCAACATTCACTTCCTCTTGCAGAAGAGCAGCTGAAACCAAAGCAGTACTTTGGTAAGTCTGAGGCGGTCTCAAAGTTTGCTAATGGGATCAGGGGTGGTGGGAACACAGCAGGAGAAGCAAGATAAAAGACTGTGGGATTGAGAAATGGTTAAGAGCATTCAATACACCAAGATTAGCTTCAAAATAGCAGATGTTAATTTTTTTAAAGTAAATTACTTATGAGGCAAATTAAAAAAAAAGGTCACACACCATTCACTTTCTTAGAATTGTTTTATACTACCTTTAGTTCCCATTCTCTGTGCTAAGCACATGCATCTGAAAAAAAAAATTCCCCAGAACACCAACAATTTTACAAAAAGGAAAACTCAGTGGAACAACCCAATTACATAACTTCATCATGGTCACTTGGTATATTGTTAATGTCTCTTTTTGAGCTACATTTCTCTACAAAACATGCTTCTGATATTTTATTTTAACAATCTAAATCTCCTGACTACCTTTTCAAATACTCTGGTAAGCTCGTTTTCACTAAACAGAAATTTAAGAAGAAAGGCCTTTCTATGAGAATCCTCTTTTCTGTGTTGTTACAATAGTCACTATATTTGATTTTTTTTCTTGTGAAAAGCCCAAATCAAAATGAATGACCACACACACATTTACAAATCCCTTACAGCAATTATAAGGAGGCAGACATCGACCCATTTTAGATGTGACAGATTATATAAAATAGCATAATATTTGGATGGCCAAAAAGTCTGTTTAGTTTTTTCTGTAAAATAGAATACACATTTTTTATTTTCACCAATAACTTCATTGATTTGGATATATTGTGTATGTCGGCTCTCTCCCTCTATTGGCTTCCAGTGGGTGGAGGCCAGGGGTGCTGCTAAATATCTTTCAATGCATAAGACAGCCCCACAGCAAAGAATTACTTGGCCAAAATATCAATAATACCAAGAAACTTCTCAAACCACTTTTGACATGTTTGATCAGTCATAGCACTTTCTCCATACGTTGCACAAATCTTTTTTTGCATTTCAGTTGTAATTTTACCTTTCTTGAAATAATAAAGCATAATACACTGAAAGTGGTGCCTATTTTCTTCCACCTTCAATATTAAAACGGCTTACACTTTTGTTAAGTTTTTTTAAAATGCACAGTGATATGACAGTTGTCACAATACAATCTAACAAAATTGTTTTGAATGACGTTAAAGACAACTAAACACTACTAGTACATGAAAAATTAAACAAACTTTTTGGCCAACCCAATATAAATACTAGAGAACAAACTACTTTTTTCTATTTAAATGGGACTAGAAAATTTACAGGTTATATGCACTGAAGTTGAATACTGATTCATTCATTTAACAAGTATTTACTAAATTCCTAATGTGCCTGGTACTGTGCTAGGGGCTAAATATACAATGATAAATAGGATAACTTCTGGAAAGGGTATCTCATTTAGGCTTTGCAGGAGAATAAAGGATAAGCAGGAATTAGTCGGGTGAAGAGATCAAATGTGTGTCTCAGGCAGATTATTCAGCATGTGTGAGTCCAGAAAAGAGCAACCCAAAATAGCTTGATATTGTGGGAGCCTGGAATGAGAGGTAAGAGCCCAGAAAGAAGAGCGGGGAAAGGTGAGGCCGCAGAAGTGCCCAGATCATGCGTGCTGAGAGCTCCGGAGCCTCAGAATGCAGATAACAGGAAGACTGAAGAGTTTTAAGCAGAGGATTCACTCTGTAACAGTTCACAAGACTCTTCGGGGTGCCTTTTAATTAATTTATAATATAGCATTTATTAACACATTTACCAGGAGATTTTAATGGATGAATTTGGAATTAACTGTTGTCACTATATAGTGTAAGGGCAGTAGGACTTTAATTCAAATGGTACAAATGCAATTTCTATTGCACTGCTTAGTATAATCCATAATTTCCAACACGCAATGCAAGGATATTGTTTATATCTTTTCTAATTTGTTGACTTTAGAGAGAGGGAGGGAAGGAGGGAGAAAAGGGGAAAGGAAGAGAGAGGGAGGAGAGAGAGAAACATTGATTTGTTGTTTCACTTATTTATGCATTAATTGGTTGATGCTTGTATGTGCCCTGACCGAGGATTGAACCTACACAACCTTGGTGTACCAGGATGACGCTCTAACTGAAAAATCCAGCCAAGGCTTATGTAAGATATTGTTTAAAGATTACAAATCTTTTATAACTTTTAGCATATTGATGTTTAGCATATTTATGTAAAAATGTAAAGGTGGAACTTTCAACTTTTCCTTTTATTCCTCCATCCCCAAGTCTCTTCTCCTTTATTCTCCTACCTGGCGCTATCATAGAAGAGGGATACTAATTAAAATGTTTTGAGTGCCTGCCATGTTCAATGTACCATGCTAGTTGCTTACATAAGTTATCTTAATCTTTATGACAATCTCATGAGGGCATAAATTCCTATTTCAATTTTATAAACGAGAGGTTTGATGTACAGAGAAATTGAATGACTTACCTAAAGTAAACTAATAAGTGGTAGAATTAGGACTTAACCTGAGTTTTTTCCCATAACTAAATACATTTGTGGGCTATGTTTACCGAGAATGAAACATGGGGAAGAAGCAGAAAGGAGAAAGGAGAAACTGGAAATCCTAATCACTCATTAAAGACAAGACATCTTTTTTGGATAGTAGTAAGTAGTCAGCAGTGCTGGGAAGATCAACTATCCTCAGTCACCTGCAGGCCCACTGTGTTCCTTTGATGATGAAATCCAGTATTGGAAAACTGGGGGTCTGTTCCTTTTGTTCCTTAGGCTGGCTTTGGTACACTGAGACAGGACAACTTTGATAATCTTAAGCAAGTATGAGGTCAATATATGCTTATACGCTTATTTGTCTGGAACCATAGGTGGCTACTAGGAGGCAGAGCCGGGGAGATTCAGCTTTGATAACAGAATCATTCAGGAAGCCCCACATCAGGCTTATGTATTTGTGTGGGCTACCGACAATCTGGAATTCATCAAACTGCAGTCAGAAAACTTACCCTGATTTTTCCACCAGGCTTTGTTGAAAAAAAGAGTCCCTTAAGAGGTACAGGGGCCCAAAAGAACTGTAAGATTCTACATTTCAATTTTTCTATTAAAGTACCCACTGATCACCCTCATTACACAATCAAATACAGCACACCAATTTTGCATGGCCTTTTAGTCCTTGGAAACATGTACCACATTCTGTGTATCTGTCATAGACTTAATTGTGTGTGTCCCTCCAAAATTCATAAATCGAAGCCCTTAACTGCCAATGTGACTGTGTTTAAAGATAGGACCTTATAGGAGGCAATTAAAATTAAGTGAGGTCATACAGGTGGGGCCCGAATCCAAAAGGACTGGTATCCTTATAAAAAGAGGAAGAGATACCAGGACCACATGTGCACAGAGAAAAAGGCCATGTGAGGACATGCTGAGAAGGAAGTAATCAGCGAGCAAGCCTAGAACAGAGGGCTCAGAAGAAACTAACCTTTCAGCCTCTAGAACTGTGGTCAAACGCTCTTCTGCCGTTTAAGTGCCCTATTCCATGGCACTTTGTTACGGCAGTCCTGGCACACTAACAGTTCCACAACCTGAAGGTGTCAGATGAACTGCTCGTTACCAGCCCATGTTGGTACTGAGAATGGGCAGTGCCACGCTCATATCCACTGTAGGTCCTTGCCAGCCAGCTTACAGTACTGTGTTCTTCACTATTACAATGCTACGCGTCTGGTGCAGAAACAGTGTCCTTGGCACTGAACTCTACAACCACCATCCAGGCAGGTCATGACTGGAAAGGTTACATCCCCCAAAGCAAAAGAACAGTCTTGGGGAGCATGTCTTCAGCATACCATTACTGACATATACGTGCAAAATTGCTATGCAGTACGGAATCAGTGTGTTTCCCATGCCAACAGTCCACATTCTGGGAGTGGAGTTAGGACCATTCTCTTACCGTACCAACAAAAGCCATGTGGCTCTTGAGTATTCCAGTATGTGTTTTTATCCAATATCTTATCTTCTCATTTGAAGACCACTTAGCTTTCTTCTGAGCATTACTGTATACATGGTAACTTCTTTGCTTGTTTCAATTTGGCAGTGGATTATATATAAAACATGTCTCCCCCATCTCCAATTAGATGTTGTTATCTCACTGTTTAGGATAAATTAAAGCTCTGTGAGAAAGGTGGGAGGCAGCAGACAAACTGGAACCTTTGGCTTCAGCACGACCATGTTTCTCTAGCATCACCTCAGTGAACAGGGAAACTGGGTCTATGACCTGAAGGAGTTTGACCCACAGGACAGCAGACCTATTCCGCCCATCCTGCTTGGTTCTCCCCCAACGACAAATACTCTTGACACTGAACCACCATCAAGAAATGTTTCAAGGTGCTGATGACTCAGCAACAATGCCCTGTCTTCTGAGGGTCCCTTAAATTTCATTTTTCTCCTGATACCTACTACCCCACTGAGATGTTCTGAAACCAAGCTCCTCCATCTGAGAGCCCAGATGCCTTCTTACAAGCCTTGTTCTTTGGAATCTGGGGTCATCATTACCTTTAATGACACTTGTGTGAGACAATTGCATTTTTGACTCACTGTCAGATTATTAAAATAATTTGAGAGGAAAAACAGCTAAAAGTTGAGGGACACAATCTCATCAAGAGGTTTGTTTTGAATGAATACTGTTTCTATTTCCTTCTTATTCTGCTAGTTTTTGTCATAACATGCTATTCCTTGCACATAGTGGTCTGGCATTATAGGTGTGACAATATCTTTGGCAATATGTTCCAGAGATCTTTTTGCAACAGAAGTTTAAAAACCTGAGCTTACGTGCCCATGCTGGTAGTGACAGGTCTGGGAAATGAGATGTTCTGCAAAATACACTTGGTCAAATTTTGTCCACTCTTCACATACTCGA